CCTAGTGGGTGCCCAGGGTCCCTTGGAATGGCTGAATTTGTGCTGGACCAGAAGGAAAGCTAGTGTTTCACTGGACAGAGCTGTGGAGACTGCACGAAGCACAGAGGAACTCATGGAGGATGAAGGCAACCATTTCCAAGAAGAGAAAGCAGTGGCCGAGGGCTGGTATCCGGACCGCGAGGGGTGTGGAAGGACTCTGGGTCAGAGTCCACAGCTGTGGGTCTACTCGAGGCTCTGTTGTTGGCTGAAACCCGATGCCGGATGAGTCCATTCCCTCACTGAGGTTGCTCCTTCATCTTAGAAGGGTCCGCCTGTTTCCTCTTGGGTTTGTGGCTCCTCAGGAGCACCCTTTGCCATCTTGCCTTCAGGTTTTCTCATATACTGTCCCCTTCAGCTAGACCACTGTTCTTTCCTTGTCCGCCCCTGCATCTTCAGGGCAAAATGCCCCTTCCCCTAGGAAGTCTCCCTGAAGCTCCGCATGGTAGACATAAGGGTGTCACCCAGATCAGCCTTCAGTGGAGGACTTGGTGCCCCAGGTCTGCACACAGTCTTCACCCTCCAGCTGTCACCCACTGGGGACTGCCCACACCCCGTGAACGATCGGTGACTCAGAGGAGGGAAGACGCAGCCGTCTCCAGCCGTGTCAGGACAACCCTGAAGGGCTCTTCTAGCGCCCGAGCTCCCATAGGGCGAGCTGAGGTGTCACTGGACCTGTGTTGGGGTCTCCCCTCCCCCCAGTTCCTCATCCTGCCCCTCCATTCCATGGGTGTTGACCTCAGAACACTCCCTGAAAACATCTGCACGCGGACCTCCATCTCCGACTCTGCCTCCAGAGTACCCAGCCTGTGACGACACCCCAAAGCCAGGTCATAGGTTCCTCCCATGGTTCTTGGTCATCTTTTTTGTAACACTCATAATAATTTAGGGTACTTCCTTGTTTCCTGACTACTTCCACCTGATTCGTCAGGCAAGAGGGGCAGGGAGTGACACACTGCACTAGCAGCACGTGGTGCAGAGAAAGGTAACTGGGGAAAAACTTAGAGAAGCAGTAGAGCGTCTGTCTGCAGCCCCACCCTCTCATCACCCTCCACAGGGGCTCTCGACCAGGCCAGTGTGTCCTCAAATGGCCAGCGGCCCGCAGAGAGGGGCCTGCCTCACCCAGCCCGCAGGACGGGCAACCAGTTCCGGGAGGAAGGACCCACCGCCACTGTTGGTCGAAGAGAGAGGACGTGTAATTCCTCTAAGTAACGAGAAACATACCAAGGGATGTCTGGGCAGGAGCGACACCAGGGAGTGTGCTTCCTGAGGCCCACGGCCACGCCCCAAGGACTCAAGAAGAGCCTCGAAGAATCTGGGCACGAGGAACACCGATATCTGTCAGAGCTGACGCTCCCCACAGGCTGGCCTGTGCTGGCCAAGCCGGCTCTCTGCCAACCTGTCAAAGGCAAGGGGGGGAAATGAGCCCCCGGAGCCCCACAGTCTTGTCTTTCATCGAAAATATGTGCTTCATGAGGGTAGCAGCTGAGTCTGTCTTGTTCCCTGCCCAATCAATTATCTATGTGCTGTGGATAAATAATTGAATAGATCAAAAGACAAGGGCTAAACAAGCAATTTACAAACCTGAAACATTAAGCAAGGCAGGGGATAATTGGGGAGAAATGCTTCTTCTAGAAGTTATTCCTTAGGAAGGGCCAAAAAGGGGCTATTAATAGACCCGATTAATAAACATCAGCCAAGGTAAATGTTAACAGGAAGCACCTCTGCAAATGTTGGCAGTCTCCTAGGTGGGGCGGGCAGCGGGCAGGCAGGGGGCAGGCAGGCCTCCCGCCTGTTTACTCAGTGCATTTGCGGTCCTAGGGGAACCTCCTTCCTGAGCCCCAGAGCAGGGGGCGGGCACAGCCCAGGCTTTCTGCTTCCTGGAAGCTCACGGTGCTGCAACCACTGTGGCCCCTTAGATATTCCTTAAACTCACTAAGCTTGTTTGTACCCCCAAGATCTTCCTCCTTGCTGTTCCATTGTCCTCTTCCCCTTGTTTGCTTCAGGTTTCTGTGCAAACACCACCCCCTCACACAGGCCTTTTCTGACCCCAATCTCAAATAGAGCCAAGGCCCCCATTGCTGCCCATCTTTAATTTAAAAAATTTTACATAACTCTGTTTTAATTTATTGAAAGGACTTATTAAAACCTGAAGGTGGACTATATAATATATGCATTTTATTTTATTTGTATCCAACTCCCCCTCTAGAATGAAGACAGTGACTTTTCTGTCCCATTTACTGCTGCGTCTTCTAGAACATTGCCTAGCACTTTTGCAGGCGCCCAGTGAAACTGCCGAATGAATACGTGAGGGTCCAATTGGACCGAGTTCCTGCACTCAACCAGCTCCCCTCACACAGTCCATGCAGGCAGCTGAAGGAAGTTTCTCCACCTCTGTCTGAGGCTGAGCGATGCAAGGAAGGCATGTGGGCTGCTCCGGCGGCAGTGAGGACAGGCCGGGTGAAGCAAGGCCACGTCCAAACCAAGACTGGAGTGCTGAGTAGGAATTCTGCAAGCGAGAGGAAGGAGGAGAGAGTTCCGGACAGAGAGGTGCACAGGCACAACAGTTTGATGGCAAGAGAGAGCTGGAAAGTTGGTAGAATGTACAGAAGTTTCATGTGTCTGGACCGGAGTGGGGAGCAGGGAGGGGGTGTAGGGGAGACTGGGGTTGGGGTGAGCAGTGGTCCATTTCTGTATGATCTGGAGCAGACATTAGGCCTGAAAGTGACGTAACCAGATTATTTTTCTCTATAAACATTCACAATCTTCAGGAATTTTGCCACGTGCTCATCTCTTGTCCCAGTGATATTAGTCACTTAATATTTCACATGTAACTGACTCGCTTTACTTAAGTACATTCATTTAAAAGGGACACTCTTGGTAATGCCATTCTAATTTGTGTCCTAAACACGAATCGATATAAAACTAAACCTAATGACAATGAAATAATGTCACATTCCATCACTTGCTTAGGGCTCCGATCCCAAAGTCTACATGCTCTTGTTTCAAAAGGGAGACTAACGAGTGTCATCGAGGTGTTAAAGACAGGTAGCACCAAAGGGGACTTTCTCCTTGACGTAAGGTTGTAAGATCGAAAGGGAGTATCTTTCTTGTTATATGATTTAGCATTACTTAAAGCCGTGTCTGGATTGCTTCTATGATTATTTCAGTAACTACACAGAATAATCTTATGCATGACTAGTGGTAAAATTCCCACACGTTTAGAAGTTCACTGCAGGTCTTTGGGGTGTTTGACTGAATGGGAGTGGGGTATAGAAGAGAAAATGGGGTGGGTGGCCAAGAAAACCAAACAAGCCAATCAATCAGAAGGTATCCATTCTCTCCCCTTATATTGTAAAGCCCGCCTACCCATCCAGCCACTTGCACGTCTGCCTGCCTGCCCAGGTGACCACCCGCCCGCTGGCTTGTCTGCCTGCACTCCCACAAATCCAATCACTCAGCCACTTCCTCACCTTCTTGCCCATCTAACTGAGTATCTTCTCACCTGCCATATATACAGAGTGGGCAAAAGTAGGTTACAGTTGTTTGTATGGAAATAATACAATGGTTAACAAATAATACAACAATAAACTGTTTCACGTACCAGTAACTGTAAACCTACGTTTGCCCACCCTGTGTGCACCCGTTCCCTTCATCCCACTACTATCCTGCACATTCCCGTCTGTTCCCTGGTCTACCTGTCTACCTCCTATCCATCCATTTTACCCATCCATCCATCTCACGCACCACAATCCACATTTAGTGTCTTGACTCTTAGCTTTCTTATTCTTTCTAAAACAGGAACCACGGCTATGACCTCTAAGTTCTGATTTCGAGGTTTATTCCCTCTACAAGCTTCAGTTCTCCCTGAGCTGCCTCTGGGGTTGTCCTGGAAGGAAATCTCTGAAAAATCACTCTATTCTCGCTGTCCCTGGCCCACGCCCTCATACGCTTCTCCCACCATGGGTCTCGTTTTCCCATAACCTTGCCAGGGCATAGTCCTAGATTGTCCAAGCTGAAAGGGACTGTGGAGACCACCAACTCCAAAGCTTTCAGGTTCTAGATGGGAAAGCTGAGGTCCAGAATGGGCGAGGTTGCGGGATGAGCCAGTCACAGTATTAGGAATGGTTTCTTTCACAGGCTAAGATCCTCCAGTCCCTACAAACTACTGGTGGATTTCTGAAGTGGCAGGGCTCGAAGCATCCTTAGACATCATCTCTTTGAGTGGGTCACTCAAGAGGACGGCCTCACAGGGGTCAGGGCTGTGAGTGATCTAGTCTCTGAGTCCTCAGATCCCCCTTCAACTAGAGGACAGGTCCATGGAAGATCGTTTTGAACAAAGGTTTTGCTGCTGAAGAGGAAGGTTTAAAACTTTTGTTCTCATCCAATGCCCTCATTGCAGGAACAAAGAAGCAGGTTCAGAGGAAAAGGTTTTGGCCCAAGGGCACATAGCCTGTAAGTGGCGGAGCAGGTTTACTAACCCAGCTTTCCTGGTCTTGTTTTTTCCCTTTGCTGAACATTTACTGGCTTTGGAGGGACCTGAGTCATGGCAGCCAGAGAAGAGGAAATACTGTTCCTATGTCCCTGGAAGTCCTACACCTACCTTAGGGAGGGCAAATGATTCTATCTGCTGCTTGTGGACTGAGCAAATACTACCTTAAAAAAAAATCAACTGTCCTCTGGGTTTCTTAGCTCTCTTCACTGGGCCCTGGCTGCCATGGAGACAAGCACAGGCGCCAATTGGACCCCAAGCCCTTCCTTTATGAGGGCTTCTTCTTCTTACCAGCTCTTTGCCCTAAAAAATTCTGCCTGCTCATGTTATGAGAACTGAACACTCTTTGTTCACTGTGACTGTGGTTTTGCCACTGAAATTGATAACCCCTCTTGGGAGAGCCAGGTGATGCTTCCCTCCCATGACGCAGTGCGAATTGCTCTCTGGCCCCTAGTGGGGGCTGGCAGTGTCAGAGCTCTGTGTACCGATGTGCTCCGGGAGCTGGGGCCAAGCTGCACTGCATCCAACCTTGTCCTGAGACCTTCCACCTGCACCTCCCACCACTCCCAGAGGTTTTCGGGCTGGTCAACATTTGCTGAAGCTTCATTCTTGTTTATTTGCAGGGCACCTTTATACCCTGCCCCTGGCCTTTTAACCTGGGTGAACTCATCTTTGCATAACACAATGTAGCTGTTTTAAGAGCAGGCTCTGGAGTTGGTCTGCCTGAGTTCAAATTGCAGCTCCCTGCTTACTGGCTGAGTGCTCTTGAGCAAATTGCTTAACCTTTCTAGGCCTCGGCTTCTTCATCTGTAAAATGGAGATATAAAATAATAGGAAGATCAGAGAAGACACTTGTGCCAGGATCTGGAAAAGAGGGGAAGAAGAAGAGAGGGAAGAGAATCCTGGGTAGAAGCCCTGTGCACAAAGGCCCTGCAGCAACAGGAAGCAGAACAACTACTGGGGAATGAGAGAGGGCCCAGGATATGGCAGCTTGACTTGCTCAGCATCTTTTTTAAAATTATATTTTATTGATTATGCTATTACAGTCATCCTGATTTTTCCCCCTTCCCTGCCCCCAGCATACCCCACTCACTGAGGCGATCCCTCCACCATTAAGTCCATGGGTCATTAGTACGAGCTCTTTGGCTATTCCATTTCCTGTATTGTACTTGACATCCTCATGGCTATTCTGTAACTACCTACTTATACTTCTCAATCCCCTCACCTCTTCACCCATTCCCCTACCCCCCCGCCAACCGACAACCATCAAAATGTTCTCCACACCCATGATTCTGTCTCTGTTCTTGTTTGCTTAGTTTGTTTTTTAGATTCAGTTGTTGATAGATTTGTAATTTTTTGCCATTTTATTATTCATAGTTTTGATCTTCTTTTTCTTTTTTAAAAAACATTTTATTTATTGATTTTTAGAAAGAGGGGAAGGGAAGGAGAAAGAGTTGTAGAGAAACATCAGTGTGTAATTGCCTCTCATGTGTCCCCTACTGGGGACCTGGCCTGCAACCCAGGCATGTGCCCTGACAGTGACCCTTTGCTTCACAGGCCTGTGCTCAATCCACTGAGCTACACTAGCCAGGGCTGATCTTCTTTTTTCTTAAATAAGTCCCTTTAACATTTCATATAATAATGGTTTGGTGATGATGAATGCCTAGTTTTTTCTTGGGAAGCTCTTTATCTGCCCTCCGATTCTAAATGGTAGAACTTGCTGGATAGAGGAGTCTTAGATATAGGTCCCTGCTTTTCATGACTTTGAATAATTCTTGCCAATCTCTTTTTGCCTGCAAAGTTTCTTTTGAGAAATCAGCTGAGAGTCTTATGGGAACTCCTTTGTAGGTAATTGTCTGCTTATCTCTGATGCTTTTAAGATTTTCTCTTTATATTTAACCTTTGGCATTTTAATTATGATGTGTCTTGGAGTCGCATCCACCTTGTTTGGGACTCTCTGTGCTTCCTGGACTTGCATGTCTATTTCCTTCATCAAATTAAGAAAGTTTTCTTTCATTATTTTTTCAAATAGGTTTCCAATTTCTCGCTCTTTCTCTTCTTCTTCTGGTACCGCTATGATGTGAATGTTGGACCTCTTGAAGTTGTCCCAGAGGCTGCTTATACTATCCTCCCTTTTTTTGGATTTTTTTCTTCCTGTTATTCTGATTGGTTGTTCTTTGCTTCCTTATGTTCCATATCATTGATTTGATTCTCAGCTTCATCCACTCTACTGTTGTTTCCCTATAAACTGTTCTTTATTTCAATTAATACATTCTTTGTTTCTGACTGGATCTTTTTTATGCTGTTGAGGTCCTCACTAAATTCCTTGAGCATCCTTATAATCAGTGTTTTGAACTCTGTATCTGGTAGATTGCTTATCTCCATTTTGTTTAGCTATTTTTCTGGAGTTTTGATCTGTTCTTTCATCTGGGCCATGTTTCTTTGCCTCCTTGTTTTGGCAGCCTCCCTGTGTTTGTTTCTATGTATTAGGTAGAGCTGCTTTGACTCCGTGCCTTGGTAGGGTGACCTAATGCAATAGGTGCGCTGTAGGGTCCAGTGGCAACAGAGTCCCCTGCCACCCAAGCTGGGTACTAGAGGTGTGATCTTCATGTGGGCTGAGTACACCCTCTTCTGTAGTTGAGCCTTGGTTGCTGTTCGCATATCGATGGTGGGGATTTACGCAGGCCAGTTCACTGAAAGAATTGGCTATGACCACTGACCACAAACTTCTGCCCTCTGTGGAGGATCAGCTGTGCAGGGGCAGGGTGGTGGTGCTCTGATACGGTCTGTAGCTGTCCACTGGGTACACTGGCCCTGGGGTTGCCAGTTGGTGTATGCCAATGTCAGCCCCCACCTGTGTTTTGCCTGGGGCCATCCTGCCTGAGCTATAAAGCAATATGAGAAGGCTGCTACATGTGCTGGGCTTGCAGATTCCCAGGTGAAGCCAAGCTGTAAATCTAGGCTGGCTGCTGCTAGTGCCAGTCCTAGGACTCACTGAAACCAGCTGTTGCTTGTTCGATACGATTTAGGAAGTTGTGAATCATAAGCCAAGACCAGCTATTCATATGGAAAAGCAGCTTGGTTGGGCCCATAAGTTGGGTGGGGCGGAGTCTCTGGGGATCTCCAAGGCAGGTCAAACAGTGTTAGCCAAGTTGATGGAGTCTCAGATATGGCACCAGCTTACCAGCTCTGTGGGTGGAGAGTTTAGAAATGGGACAATGGCCTCTGCTCACCTTGGTGCCAGACACTTCAGTTCCTCCCTGTACACCAGTGATGCCTTTCAAGCTGCTGCTCTGGTGCTGGAGCTCAGAGGGAGTGAGTCTGAGTAGGTGAGTCTGTGTGTGGGTTCTTTAAGAGGAACTGCTTGGGGCTCTAGCAGTTTCCTCCACCGACTCAATACCCAATGTTTTTTGTAGCCAGAAGTTACGGGGACTTATCTTTCAGGTGCAGGAACCCTGGGCTGGGAGTCCTGATATGGGGCTGAGACTCCATGCTCCCAAAATATCCCTCCCAAATTTTTATCCATGTGGGTGAGGGACCAGCCCATTCCACAACTGTGCCCCTCTTACCAGTCTGGATGGATGTGGTTTCTTTAATTCTGTAGTTGCCAGACTTTCATCAACTCAATTTCTGGTGGTTCTGAGTGATGGTTGCTCTGTATTTTAGTTGTAAGTTTGCTGTGGTTGTGCGAAGAGGTGAGCCATGTCTGTCTGCGCCGCCATCTTGACCAGAAGTTCCACTCAGCATCTTTCGTAGTGTGCTTTCCTGTACTGGAGACACACAGACGCCAGATTTCTAAAACCAAGTGACTTCAATCCTACTAATCAGAAGCAGCACAGACATTAACACTGTAAGGCAGAGGTCATGCTTCTCAGATTTTTCAGTCACAGGGATTTTTTTTTCAGCAGCGGTAGCAGCATGTTCAGTGTCTAGCCAGGGGTGTCCATCCTTTTGGCATCTCTGGGCCACACTGGAAGAAGAAGAGTTGCCTTGGGCCACATTAAGTGCATTGTGACATCTAATCACAAAACAATCTTATTAATGTTTTAAGTAAATTTATGATTTTGGGTTGGGTTGCATTCACAGCTATCTTGGGCTGCACGCAGCCCACGGGGCGCAGGTTGGACACCCCTGGTAGACCCTTGTTTTGTGACTGTGGAAGCACTTTGGGCACCCGTTCTGCTGGCAGGGATCAGGGCTGAGTATAGTCCTGGTGGTGGCAGTGTCTGGATTTCTCAGCTTCTCGATCGTGACCTGCAGGGTTACCCTGGGGGGCCGTTTCTAGAACCTCAGCCTAGAGCTAGCCTCTCCTGACCTCCCAACAGTGTAGTAAGGGCTATTTCTCTATATTAAATTCCTTCCTGTTTAAAAGAACTGGAGTGGTTTCTGGAATATGAAGCTGTGGTTGAGGCAAGAGCTGAAGGTAGTTTGGGATGTGTGTGTATTTGGGGGTGGGGTGCGTAATGATTGAAAGGGAGCAAAGTGGATGGGTCAGAGATGTTTAGGAGATCAAATCATAAGACTGGGTGAGGGCGGGGCGCACTGCTGGTAATCTGTGTGAGCACTATGTGGCTGTTTCCTTCTACTCTCTGTGCCCCCATTACTCAGTGGGCCTGGTAGCTCTACAGAGTCACACAGTGGAAGGGGTGAGGGCTAAGGTATCATATACATTGGGCGTTAACTCCAGATCCACCCCCTACCTGTTATGTTACCTTGGGCAAGTTACTGAATTCCTCTGGACTTCCGGTTTCCTCTTTAATCAAGTGGGGGCAATAAGAAGGATGATCATAGCAATTCCACTGGTTTACTGAACAGTGCTTGGCACATAATAGGCACTCAATAAGTATTTGTTGAATGAATGAATTCAAGAGGCTGGAACTGATGGGGTACAAGGAAGAAGCTACCTTATTTCTCTTATCTGCCAGCAAGTGTAGTCTGTCAAGGGCAGGTTATGCTCCTTGTATGGGGCTGGGAGCAGGAGTGAGTCTCCCCAAATGTGACACCCAGGTATGCAGATTATTTTTGAGCTGAAAACAAGTAAAGCCCAATATACTCAGGAAGAGCTTTTAATTATTTATTTTTTACCAGCCTTGTTCCTGTCTAACAAGATTCAGATAGAAAAACCTGCTCCGGGAAGGGAATCGTGACCACCTTAGGATATGTGAATTGAGTGCGGCAGACAGGGAGGATCTGAGCAAAGATCCGTTCACTAGATTCCCCATTGTCCCATTGTCTCTGAACGGTCCTGCAAGAATTTGTTTACCAAATGTTTCCTCTTTCTCATTACCTATGAATTGCCTACTTCCCCCTCCTGTCCAAAATGACACATATACCTCATTTTGCCTCACTGTCTTTGGAATTTTCACACGTATGTGAATTTCCCATGTGAATACTAAAATTTGATTTTCTCCTGTTAATCTGCTGTATGTTGTATGAATTATTTAACCAGTCAGAAGAACTAATGAGGTAAGGGAAAAATTTCCCTGGCTCAGTCCTTGACTCCTAATGATAATTCAAGCAGATCCATGGCTTTCTGGTTCCTTTCAGTCAAAAATAACAGTTTCATTTTGATAATTAAAACTCATTTTCAGTAACTAGGAAGTCCACTCCTACCCAGTGAAATCTAAATTTTGGTTTCACATCCAGTTCAAAGCAAAAACAAATCCCTCCTTCCATGGGTACCTGCTATGTGCCCGCCCCTGTGTGGGACAGTGGAGTTGCCAGATAAAATACAGAAAGCCCCATTAAACTGGAATTCCAGAGGAATAATGAGTAACCTGTTACTATATGTGTGTCCCTAATGTTGCAGGGAGCATACTCAAGTGTAAAAATTATTAGTTGCTTATCTGAAATGCAAACGTGCCTGGACTTCCTATATTTTTATTTTCTAAACCACAGTACTGAAACACGTGGGCCCCTTGTCCTGTGGGGATATAAGCATTCTCTACCTCTGCCAAAGGCATTTGACGCTAGGTGAGCAGACCAGTCCAGGAATACCTTTCCCCCTATTTTCCCTTTAGCACAGAGGACATTATCTATAATGTTGACCATCCATCCACAGGTGAGATTTGAGCAACGTTTGGCCCCGAGGGCCTCGTTTTCCACCTTTGACCTCTGGAAGCGTGCTCCTTTTCAAATGGTCAGGAACGCTCGTTTGCCTGTGAGAGGGCTGAAGGCACGTCACCTGGCACCTTATGTGACAGCTGATTGGGCGCAGGAGCTTCTGAGAACAGGAGTCAGTGGTGATTTCCCGGAAGGGGGTGCAGCCTCACTGAGGAGTGCGAGGCCTCAAACTGAGGACCCTGGGCCCGGCTACAGGCTGAGCAGGTTGTTCCCTACACTCCTCAGAGCAAGAGCTGGAGAGAAAGCACCCAGAGAAGATCCTGGAAGATGCCATTGTGTACCTGGTGGAGAATGGGGGGCACAGTGAGAACAGGGGCGGAAGGAGCTAATGAGTGTGGATTTGGGGCAAGGCCCTTGTCCTCTCTGACCACAGTGCCCTGCTGTAACTTGGGCCATTGGAGCAGAGGGTCTGTGTGAGGCAGCCCGCCAGACCTCCCTGTCTCAGTCCCCTGTAACTCACCCTGGCAGACTGGCCTTTCCGCTGGGTCCTGCAGGGTCTCTCTCCTACAGCTTCTGCTGTGCTTCTGTGTCTGCCACCCTCCCCCACCAAGGACACCCAGCGCCTGGCATGGAGTGGGCTGGATTGCCTGTCTCACGCCTGTCCTCAGGCCTGACCGGGTTTTTGCCCGGAAGACCAGGATACAGGGGAAGGCAGGGAAGAGCAGGGACCCACACTCCCGTTCTTAGTTTCCCCTCACCTTGATCTTTGTAGATAATCTCAGAGCCTTTGGGGGGTTCCAAAGTATAAATCTGGCCCTGAATGGTGTGGCTCAGTTGGTTGCATATCATCCTGCAAAGTGAAATGTTGCCAGCTAGATTCCTGGTTGGGATTCGTGCCTGGGTTGTGGGCCAGTCCCTGCTTGAGGGCATGAGAGAGGCAACAGATCACTATTCTCTCAAACATTGATGTTTCTCTCCCTCTCTTCTCCCTCCCTTCCTCTCTCTCTAAAAATAAATTTTAAAAATCTCAAAAAAATAAAGTATAAATCTGGATACTCCTGGCTTTCCCCATTGGCAGTTTAGGGTTCAAGATTCTTGGTTCCCCTAAGTTACAACCCATTGACTTGCTTTTCTGCCTTTCAGATTTTAATAACGCTATTTCCTCAACTGTGCTAATTGTCCTGGTAATTTTATGTCTTTAGAAAAATTACTTTTGCCTTCCTGTTAGTGGAGCATCAAGAGAGAGCGGAGCTTTGTGTGTGTGCTCACTCTGTCTTTTTTAGCCAGAATTCATTGCCAGTCTAATTTAATCTTCAGAGCAATACCAAGGGGGAAGCATTATCATCCTCATTTCCCAAGTGAGCAAACTGAGCTTAGAGGGGATGTCTGCAGAGCTAAGGGGTGGTCGGCAGAGCCTGGAACCACCGTGGCCCTGTGTCTTCAGCACTTCCCGCCTTACGCAGCTCTCCTGGCAACGCTCAGAGTAAGCCGTGCCCCCCTCCCCTCCACAGAGGTTGGTGTCTTATGTGACAAAACCCCACAGGGCCAGAAGGACACCTTGGGGGTGGTCGTGTCTTTCTCTAACTGACTATGTCCTCTGACCATGCTTTCTGGAGAACCCAAGGAATTACGAGAGTGATAAACTATTGTCATAAGCAATGACAATCAGAAGTGACCTTCATGCCCAACAATAGTGGATTGGGTAAATGAAGTTTGGTACCTCCATTTTAAAAATGCATTTGGCTGTCAGAATGATGGAAGAGAAGAATATTTAGTGTTGTGGGGAAATGCTCCTGACGTACTGGCAAATTAAAGAAACGCATTGCCTACGTGGTAGGTGTGGAATAATCCCATTTTAACAACAACAAATTAATCACAAATTAATAAGAAAATGATTACTATTTGTGTAGGTCCCAAGTCAACATCCCAAGTCAAAAGGAATTCTGTTTTCCCCAGGGTATGAGATCAAGTTCTAATGCCTTAGTCCCCCCACCCCCACCCCTACCCCCCACCCCTCAGGATCTTGAAGCCCACAGGACATGTCCTGTGGAGAAGAAAGTGCTGCTCCCCACTGCCCTGCCCCCACCCCAACTTGCTGCTGACATCTAGTGGATAGTAGTCAAGGATGCTACTAAACATCTTACAATGCACAGAACAGCCCCCCACCCTCACCCCACACACACAAACACAACAAAGAATTGTCCACCCCAAAGGTCAACTTGATTTCTTCATCTGTTGAATGGGATCAATTGTAATACACTCCTCATAAAGATGGCGTGGGAACTAAGTGAGATAACTGACTATACGGAGCCTGAAGTAAATATTACATTCACCCTCCGAGTGAGCGGGGGCTGGGTGAGACTCATTATTGGGATCTGCCCCAAACCTAAGTCCTCAGTCTGCTGGAATACTGTGGGTATTAAGAAGACTTTAAATAGTCCTACTTTCCTCTTTACTTTCAACCTGGGCCTCTTGAAAGGCTCCCCACTTTTTTGAGAAAGTGGAGGTGAGTGAATTAGCTAAAGGGAGGGAAATGACAGCCAGTTTTAATGCAGGAAGGAACGGCTCCCACCCCCCACTGCGGACTAAATGAGGAGAAACGGATCTGAAGTCTAGCCACTGCCTGTTTTATGAAACATGGGATTTCTTTTTCCAAAGATCCTTCGCACAAAGATAAAGATTGATTTATTCAGGAGGCCTTAGAACA